GGGGGTTGTGGGAGAGGTGCAAAGCATCCTGGGATTCTGGGAAACTAAACTTGAATCTGGAGGGGGATCTGAGACAGAAGTACATAAGTTCAATAAACTGATTGAACCTAAACCTGTTAAGTCTGATATTACATCCATCCAGGTTTATCTTAAACCAATTTCAGCCATTCTGAAAGTGATTTATGTACACTGAACTTCTGTTGTGTTACAGATTTGAACCGGTTTTCAATCACTTATACTGGTTTATGTGCATTTTCTGGCTCTCACCTATTCATTGATTAATACTAATTCAAACTGTTATGAGTCATTGAAAATCATAGTTATTTTCATGGTTTCATAAAGACTGAATACCCTGCACATGGTAGCTATGTGGTACATAGTTGGTATATGTTGATGCAATTTGGATCACATAGTGTATGTTTCAAGCAGACACTGGCTACAGGCTAAGGGTAGCAAGGCAACAATAAGCAATGAGCCAAGCTGCTTTCTGTTCCTGGAATCCAAGAGTAGAGGTCATCTAGGGCCCTGCCACACATTCAAATTAAAGCCGAATAGAAACCAGCAATAGAGTTGTTTACACACTTTCAAGAACTAACTTTATAGCTGGTTGACTAATTTTACAGCTGCATAGTCAATTTTATGTGAGATAGTTACTTTGCAGGTGTGGCCAGTTTAAATTTATTGTGTAATTCACCAGTTAATACTTTGCACTTGTCAGTGTCTTACTTTGCATATGTGACTAGTCTACATTTATTGCAGGATTCACCAGTTAATTGTGTGGTAATTACTTTGCACCTGTGGCCCAACTCATTTTGCATGTGGGAGTAGTTCACATTTCATAGAATCATAGAAAAGTAGGGTTAGTCCAACCCCCTGCTCAAAGCAGGACTATCTTCAACTAGATTATCCCAGCCAAAGCTTTATCTAGCCAGGTCTTAAAAACCTTCAAGGATGGAGCTTCCACTGTCTCTCTGGGTAACTTGTTCCAGTGTTTTACTACCCTCCTAGTGAGAAAATTCTTCCTACTATCTAACCTAAACTTCCCTTGCTGCAACTTGAGACCATTGCTCCTTGTTCTGTCATCTGCCACCATTGAGAAGAGAACAGTTCAGTTCAGTTCAGTTCAGTTCAGCTTAGCTTAGCTTAGCTTAGCTTAGCTCCATCTCCTTTGTAAGTACTCCTACAGGTAATTAAAAGCTGCTACCAAATTCCCCCCTTCCCTCAAATCTGCTCTTCTCCAGACTAAATAAGCCTGGTTCCCTCACCCTCTCCTTATAAGTCATGTGCCCCAGCCCCCTCACCATTGTGTCAGTCCTCTCTGCTAAACTCCGTAATTGGCTTACATCCTTTCTGTAGTGGGAGGCACAAAAGTGGACACAGTACTCAAGATGTGGCCTCAGTAGTGCTGAAAAAAGGGGAACAAGGTTCTTTGGGTAAATCTGATATCTTTTATTAGACCAACTACATAGTTGGAAAAATTATTCTTTACAAGCGTTTAGGCACAAACACCTTTCTTTAGGCATGAATAGAGGGGAAGAATCAGTTCCCTTGATCTACTGGCAACACTCCTAATGCAAGCTGGTATGCTGTTAGCTTTTTTCACAAGGGCACACTGCTCATTTACTGCAGGATTCACTGGTTAATTGTGATTGTGTGTGTGTGTGTTATTTTTTGCAGGGGGAATTCAATTTATTGTGCAATTCACCAGTTAATTGAATGGTAATTATTTTGTACCTAGGGCCTTCTTACTTTGTATGTGTGGCTGGTCTACATTTATTGCAGGATTTAGTTAATTGTGTGGTAACCAGTTAACAGCAACCAGCAGTGTGTGGGGCAATTCTTTTGCATATGTGGCAGGTTTAATTTTATTGCAGGATTCACCAGTTAATTGTGGGTAATTAGTTTGCACTTGTGGCCCATCTTGCTTTGCATGTGTGCCAGTCTGCATTTCTTGTGGGACTTGCTGGTTAGTTGAACAGTAATTACTAGTACAATTGGTCTACATTTATTGCACAATTCATGAGTTAATTGTGTGGCAGTGCCCTTCAAGTTGTGGCTCGCTTGCTTTGTGTGTGTGGCTGGTCTACATTTATTGCATGATTCAGTGAATTACTGGTAACCAGTTACCATTTAAGGTGTGATAGTTACTTCGCATGTGTGGCTGGCTTGCATTTATTGCACGATTCATTGGTTAACTGTGTTCATTACTGTGCAGGTGTCCCAGTCTACACCTATTGTGGGACTCACTGTGTAGTCATTACTGTGCATGTGTGGGTAGTCTACATTTATATTATGCCAGTGAATTGCTAGTAACCAGTTAATTAGTAGTAATTTGCTTTGCAGCTGTAGCCAGTCTGCACTTCCTGTGATTTGCTGGTTAAGTGCGCTGTGGTGCCTTTGCTAGTGGCTGCAACCTTGCAGCTACATTTATTGTGGGCTTCCCCAGGGAATGGCATGGCAATTACTTTGGTGGTACAATTGGTCAGCACTTATTGCACAATTCACCTGTTAATTGCGTGGGAATGACTTTACACTTGTGGCTCTCTTGCTTGTCTCCATTTACTGAGTGATTCCATGAATTGCTGGTAACCGGTTACCAGTAATTCACTCCATCATGCAGTAAACATAAGACTAGCCACGCGTGCAAAGCAATTCCCACAGTTAACCAGCGAATCTCACAACAAATGGTGTGGTCATTACTTTGCATGTGTGGGCACTCTACATAAGTCAACCAGTGAATCTTGCAACTGTGGGAATTGTTTTGCATGGGTGGCTAGTCTGTTTATTACGTGATTCGGTGTATTGCTGGCTACCAGTAGCCAGTTAATGGTGTGGTCATTACTTTGCACTCTACATCAACTGGTTATATACTGAATCACAATCAATGTGGACTAGCCAACCGTGCAAAGCAGTTTCCACGTAGTTAACCAGTGAATCTTGCAAGAAACGTAGACTGCCCACACATGCAAAGTAATTCCCATACCATTATTCGATAACCAGTAATGCAATGCACTGAATCACACACACAATACGGACTAGCCACCCATGCAGAGCGACTCCCACATAGTTCACCAGCGCCCCTCGCAAGACGTGTGCAGCCCACCCGCGTTTATGGCGCGATCCCCCGCGCAACATCCGTAACGTGTGTCCGTCCGGGGCAGCGTCCCGCGGCCGGGAGCAGCCCCCGCCCCCGGCCCCGCCCCAGGCAGGGAGGCTCCCTCGCGCCTTTCCTCGGCGGGGGAAGCTGGCCCGGCCGCGCAGCTCGACCCGGGCGCGGAGGAGGCAGCAGCGCGGAGCGCCCCGTCTCGGTAACCGCGGTGCGTGCGCTGCTGCTGGGCGGGTTGGGGGGGGAGCGCGGCTACACTTCGCCTGACCGCTTCGCCTCCTGCTCCGCCCCGGCCATGCCGGGATGCCTATGCAAGGGCCCGCCGCCGCTCCGGGTTTCCGCCGAACTGCCTTTGTTGGGAGGAGGCCGGCAGCTGCCTCTCCTCCTCCTTTGGACGCCTCTTCTCTTGCCCTGGCCCCATTGTGGGGAAGTTGTGGGAGTTGTCGGCAGCGCCACTGCCCTCCTTTTGTTTTGATTTGGGGAGAAAAACCTTTCTCTCCTCTTCTTTTCCCTCAGCTTAGCCCGTCTGGCCGGGAGGAGGGGGGGGGTTGTCTCTTGCTTTTTCTCTTTTCTCCTTCTTCTCTTTCCTTCCCCCCTCCACAAGGAATCTGTGCTCCGAGGTCAAGGCGAGTTCACTCACAAAATGCTTCTCCTTCAGCAGGGCTGGATGCACAGGGATTTTCTCTCCTTGGGATCTTTTTTTTTTCTCTTTTTCTTCTCTGCCTTTGATTTGCTGGTGCTTCACAAGATGATGAGACTTGCCAGCCCTTCATCTTCTCTCCCTGCCTCACCCTCAGTCTTTTATTCAAGTTTCTGGGCATGCAAGTGGTCAGTCATGCACTCTTGCCAGGGCAAATCCTGCTGGATTTAGCCATGCACGTGTGTGCGAGATGAGGGGAGGCATTGGGAGGCTGGGGTTCAGTCAAGACTGCTGTATTCTGCCCTTTGATACTGGTTTATCATCTGCAGGCAATGTGTGGATTGGCTTTTGTAGCTCGCTTAACACCATACATGAGTGTTTTTTTGCTTAGATGTAGGCAGAGACTTTATTTAAGTTTATTTGGGGGGCGGGGGAGAACAGATGCTGTGCCTGAGAATGGGTGCGACTTGTGACCATCAAGTGCTCCCCCAACTCTTTAATTTTTATTTCCCCCCCCCTTTTTTCTTCCCCTTGCTCCCCCCCCTTTATCAACTAGAGGAATAACAAATAGAAAAGATTGCTGCTCAGCTTTACTCCTAGGCATGTGCTTAGTTTATTGGAGGATAATTCAGGGGATCTGACATCTTTAGAAAATTGCATTTTAAAGAGAGGCTGTGCTTCAAGCAGGTTGTGGCTTAAAATCTGGCAGCTCTGTCTTTCTTGATTTGCTCCTTCCCTGAGTGTAAAGCCTAGCTGTATTGTGGGACTTCTGAATATCATATAGTGTAGGGCTCAAAAGAGGCTCACCAAGCTGCGGAGACGACTCTTCTGTACCTGTGCCTCTGATTGTGGTAGTTTTTCATGTGACCAAGTGCCTACACCTCACTGTACCAATGAATGAGAATCGTGTGAAGGAACTTGCTGTGTTACAATTGATTTTAGTCTCATCTATAGTGCATTAAATTTATGGGAGGTTTGCTTCCAGTTAAAACTGACAGCATAAAAATAAATCCATCTGAGCTGGAGATCTGTGTAGGGCAGTTGGTATAAGATTCTCCATTCACAGCTGGCATAACAAATATTATGTACTTGGTGTTTTGTTTTGTTTTTTCTTGACTCCTCTACAGTAATTGATTTCAGGCTTTCTTTATGCTAAATGAAACTTAACCTATTTATTGGAATTCTTGTGATGGTGCTCAGGCTCTAATCCTGCAATTCATCTTGCACTGTAACTAGGGGTTTGAGAGGGTCTTCTCAGGACTTGGGTGATCCAGGAGCCTTCTACCGCCTCCAGAGAGGATCAGTTCAAGGAAGCTCAGGTTACCCTAAACGGATTTGTCCTTGCTTTAGTTTTCACTGTTTCCTCCACTAGGTATGTAATCAAATACATTTTCCCCCTCTCTCTTCTTCCTCTCTACTTGCCATTTTTATTGTACCCTTGAAGATCTGATGATCTCACGTATTTAAAAAAACTGACTGGATAAACTGAAGGTTGAGGTTCTCTAGTTTCTGTGTTAATATTAACTGTCATATTAACACAGAGCTGATAAATTACTAGCATTTGAATTCAAATTATGTAATCAAGGCATAGTGAATAACAATGAGGTGATATCAAGGTTGCTAAAACTGATGCTGCTTCTTTTACTAACTAGTTTTTTATTATTTTTGTACTAAAATCTGAGTTAATAGGTGCATGTTAAAAACAAATGTAGAACTCAAAATTAAAAAAAAATCTGGAAACAGTTATATTTAACATAGAGTAGGCGGGTCTGTGAAGTCCAAGTTGTGTGCATATATAAAAGCTCTCACTTTTGTAGCCTTACAAGGCTAATGGAGGCATCATCTCAGCTTTATAAATAATGTAAGTTGTGTATAATGTGGAGTCCCCTGAGACTGCAGAGAAAGCATCATTACCAGTCTTTTCAACCTGCTGGAGATCTTAAATTGATTTACAGCACTGTACTGGTGCAAAATGATACATCAGGATGACATGGGGTCAACCTGTAAAAGTCTATGATGTGAGCCTATTAGTTCAGTCATCATAATTAAACCATATTATGAGGGCAGCAAAGCAAGCGTCTGTGGCATAGTCCATTATGCTTCAAATATGGGTGGTGCAGTAGTTAAATAAAGAAAGCAACATATGTACAGTTTGCAAGATACAAAGAGGATTTGAAACTGGCACTTACAGCCTGAAGAAGAGAAATGTGAGACTATGCGCAGCTTGATTGTTAACCTCTTTCTGCAATGGTTATTAGCTGAAATAATAGAATTGTATAAACAGCATGTATTTTGTGGGGGAATTTAACTAAATTGTATTTAATCATTTTCTGACCTGAAAAAATGATCAGTCTCTTCAGAGTGGCTACATAATCTAACAACAAAGTGAAGAAAGCAGACAAACATCATTAATCTTTTTCTCCTGCATACTAGTGATCTTTCTTCTAATAAAAGGACTAACCAGAGGTGTTCAAATGCTTTGTAGAACTGAGCTGGACAATCTATGGTATCTTGGTCATATTTTGAAAAGGGGTACACTGATTAAAAAAAATTTTGAGCGGATACCGATGGCCAATTTTTTTTTTTTTTTTTTTTTTTTTAAATCTCTGCTGGGGGGGGTGGCTACAGCCACTCCAAAATTTGCTTTAGCCCCTCTTCCAGCGCTGCCATCGCCTACCTTAGCACAGCCTGGCCCAGCGCCCCTGCCAGGAAAAGCCCTGCACCACCCCAGTCCCAGCTCTCAGTGGCAGCTTGCCTTCGTCCTGTGTTCTGGACAAGCTTCTTGCGGCTCTGTCCTCCGCTGTGCAGCGCCTGCCCCAGCCCCACTCCCTCCCTCATCTTGGGGACCTCAATCTTTCTTTCCCTCTGCATGCCCCTTCCCTTGCAACATATTTACCAGCTGGACCTGGCTGCTCTCCACACTGCTGGGCTGTGTTCCTGGCCTCCTGCGTGCTATGTTGCTGCTGCTGCGCATGCACGGGGCATTTTATCGGCCACATTAGCCAAAAAAAGCTGATTGCCGATGCAGTCAATTTTCCTTATTGGTGTTGATCTGGTATGGGACCAATGTATCAGTGCACCTCTAATTTTGAACTATATGACCAGATCTATTTTAGAACAGACACTAATTTTGAATACTACTTGGCATAGGTCACTGTACTTTTCTTAGTCAAGGCAACTGTGGTTTAAGATGCATATTTCTGCTCTAAATAGTTTAGAAACTAGTGTGCCACAGATAATGGGATAAGTTTAACTGTACGCTAAACATCTCAAATCTTCTTGCTATTTGTTCAGATAGTAAAATCATCTCGAGGCATGGTAAATCCAGCTGCCACTTGTCTTGTTCCCTTCCCAAATTGCCAGTGTGTTATGGTATTTTTATATATACGCACACATACACACATTTTTTTTAAAAGGCAGCAAACTTTAAAAGTGTTGCTGTCTGGTTTGACTGGTGTGAAATTTCCCACTGTATCATTAATGGTCTCTAATTGGGGGGTCAGACTCGATGATCTATTGAGGTCCCTTCCGACCCTAACATCTATGAATCTATGAATAAAAATGTCTTACCTAGCTAGAGCTCTCGCTGTGATAAGGAGGTATGAATTTTCAGGAGTTTGAGTGGCTAGGTAGAGCACTAAGAAATACTCCTGTTAGAATCACTGATTATACAAGTTCAGTCAGATCAGAGCAAGATGCCCTTTTAGGTGAGTTGTTTTCTTAGCTAGATGATGTAAAGGATTTAAAACTCGTTTTTAGGTGAAGCTCCTTGTCCAGTTTTTACAGCAAAATCCACAAGGAAGTCTTGTGCTGTGGTTAAAAAAAAACCAAAAAACCCCCCAAAAAACAGATTAGCAAAATAACTTTATGGAAAGGAGAGCTTTAAAACCTGTGAAGATTGACTTTAAGTCACATGTTGTCTTGTGGTTAAAATGTGATTCTTCTGATGCTTCATTTTTGGTTGGTTTTTTTGTGACAACTCGTTAAGTTCCATAGCAGACGTCAGTTTATTTAGATGACACAAACCTATCTAAATTCTTCCATCTGAAGCATTGTTCTGAATGTGAATACAAGTAGCCTTTCCTCCATCTCTTGCTCCATGTGTAAGGACACTTGATTTAAAGGTTTAATCAAGATTTTCTAGATTCCTACTCTTGGTCACTTATTTTGTCTTTGGAGACCAAAACTTCATGAGTTTATCAAGTGTCTTTTATTGAGAAATTTAATATTTTAAGGATTGTCTAATATAAACATGACTGCTCTAATTGTATTGCTGTAGTTATAGAAATACAGCTTCCCCTCTCCTTTCTTCAACAAGGTGGGTGCAGATCGAGAAATATAAAGGTGATTTATTCAGGAATAGTTTTCTCCTCATTGGAAGGTTAGCTTTGATATTTATATTGATAGAGCTGTCTCCGTATGAGGGTTTGTATCAGGATAACCATGTCCATAAATGAATAAGAATCCTATCCGATGAAGTTTATCTCTAACTAAGTACTCTTGGGTAGGAAATAGTGGAGTCAAGGAGGGACAAAGGTGGAGTTTTTTTGTTTGTTTTGTTTTTTCTTTTAACTGCTAGTTGCTGGTCACAAAGATCTGCAATCTTAGCTGAGAACAAGTGTTCTTTTACAAAAGGAAAGCTGACTTTCATGAAGGAAAAGCTCAAAACTTCATAAAATAAACAGGCTGATTCCAAGGAACACAACAGCGTTCTAGGAAAGAGTCCAGATCTACAAAATCTGAATGACTACAATATCTTGCACATATCTTTTGGCTGTCCATGTGCTCTAGAGCTGAAGTGGATCAAAGGAATATGATGTAGTATAGTTCTTTTAGTTTATTTGAGAATAATGCTCCGTATTTGGAACGTTGAATTAAGCATCTGCACAATTAAATATTTCTTTTGTTCTTAGGATTTTTTTAGTATTAGCTTCTTCAAAATTGAAGAACCACATCTGTATTTGGTTTTCTGTTGAAATTGCACTGTAGTATCAAGGTCAGATGTACTATCCCAGTGCTTCCCTGTTTGTAACATTTTGTGTGTGACAGTGGGTGTGTTAAATTGTTGCTTGGTGGTCAAGATGCTACTTGGTGGTAAGTGTGTGTATAGTATATTGCTTGCATTTCTTTTGTAGATTTTGGGGAGTTGAGTATAAAAATGGGATTGATTTCCTTTTCAACTATTAGAGTTTCTTTAAGAAGCACTTTCTTCCTCTCATCTACATGGGTAATTTGATCCATGTAACTATCCTGGATATTTCATTTGTCATAGCTGTACCTGAATAACTTTTTCATATGGGTACACTATACTGAAATTAAAGAGACTTTGAATCTGTTGTCATGCCCTTCATCATGAGGGAGCTCTACTGCAATACCTGTCTCCTTCAGTTTCTCCCATGTATGAGAGGCCTAATCAAGGAGGGAAACAAATTATTTTTAAGCATGTCTTTTATGTTCAGGCACTGTTCAAAGTAGTGTTATCCAAAAGCAAGTATTACTGTTGACTTGGCCCATAAGCAGATCATTAATGTGGTTTCACTAGTGATTTCTAAAAACATTATTTCATATTTCTCTGCTTAGTAAAACAGATTTTTTTCCAACATGGCAACAGATGAGACTGTCTAAATATGTAAGTATAGACAGTCAGAATTATAGCACTTAATGCTCTTCAGAAATATTTAACTCGCAAACTTTTGTCATTTAAATCAACCACATCAAAGTGATCTATGGAATATCAACACAATATTGTATAACTTGGGAGTTGGGTATCCATTTTAAAATACTTACTTGTGTGAATATGATTATACGAAGAGCCTGAATTGTGGGTGGGTTGTTCGTTTGTTGTTTGTTTTTGGGGGCTTTTGGGGTTTGTGTCTGGGTTGTTTTGGTGTTTTTCATAACTCAGTGGTGTAAAAATCACTTGTACTTAATAGCTTCAAACTGAAAGACACTACCTAAGGGTACAAACCATTGTCATAGGGAAAGTGCAAACGTAGCATTCAAAATTTCTCCTTTTTTTTTTTTTTTTTTATCTGTTCAAAAAAAACAAAACAAAATTTGAGTTTCAGCATTTAGCCAGATATTTAGGCTTAATCGAAACCCAGAAAATGACTTGATGTCACTAGTATCTGTGTAGAAACTACTTAAAGTAATGCAAAAGGTCCTGTGTAAATGCATGGCACTTCTTAAACCAGGTTTATATTAGTCTAACTTGCACCTATACAGTTTGCAGGATGTGCACTGATTTAATTAAATTGTGTTTTTTAAAATAACTTGAATTAAATCAGTGCCACATCTATGCCTGATGATTCCATGAAGAAAATTGTTGGACCTATTGCAGCTATTATAGGAGAAATATTCTAGATGGACTGG